AAAAACAAGGGCAACATTGCGATTGATCAGTTTTGTAAGTAGTCCACTACCAACGAACGTCATGGAAAAGAAAACTGTAGACTGTGGTTTGCACCAAAGTACGAAAATTTCACGCGGACGAAAAACAACGAATCGAACGGAACAATATAACCCAGACGATATTGATCATTCTTTTCGTTATTATCGTATTTCGAGTGATCGTATCGGAAAGGGATGGGTTTGATCAATTTTGCGAACGGCTATGCCTCGGCATCCGCTAGAAAATGCAGCGACAAAGTCGAAATGGAGACTCGCTTTGAAAGGAGTTATACCGAGGAGTTATACCGAGCCGCAAACCCTTTCGAGTTTACACTTTATGCTCCTGAAAATCTGCTCCTATGCATTATGTAGAGCGCTGTACACCTGTTGTGCCGGTATTCCTTCGAGGACGAGATCTACTCGACGAGCTAAGTAAGCACAACATTCCTGCCGCGCGCTTCTTGGGGTAACGAAAGCGCGGCGGAAACGCGGAATGCCAAGTAGCTTGGATAGAACGAGACTGATTCGGCTGGAAAGTTACGGGGTTGCATCAAATTACGGCGATAATTACCTGTATTAAAATTCATTGCTTGTTAGAGTACGTTTTCTGCAATTTATGCGAGCCCTCTTGGATTCGTTTGTTTTTCCACCGGTGTTCCGGCGATATCGATTCCATCGTATCGCCACCCCTTAATCCGATCTACCGTTTTGAGTAAATTAACTTCCTCCCTTTTCTGACAATGGAAACCAACCAATTTGATTCCATCCAAATTGTTCGCTGTATATCTTCTCTTATATTCTTATATCTTTATTCTATATCTTTGATTACCCTCATATTAACGATCGAAACTTGTTTCTCAAAAGATAGTTATAATTCTATGTTACTTCAATTTTCATTGTCTCTGTCTCTGTCTCTTTATCACAATGTCTACAAAAAGTAGACGTGCATATCTGTACCTATCTTCTACGTAGACTTAATTTCTCGACTCTCTGCTCTTCAAAGATAATTGTTTTTAATTCAGCGGGAAAGAAAATTCCATCTCTTTTCTCTTGATTGTTATCTACGTTTGTTTCTATTCATAAAACCGTCTAAAATTATAAAGTTTATTAAACCGTCTCACGTAGTTTATAAATAAAGTATTTTCAAGTATCTCAATACTAAAAATTCCTCCCGCAGAATCGATGTAAAATGAAATATCTCAGCGATATCATGTCCAGAAAAACAAAAAAAAAAAAAGAAAGAGTAAACATGAGTATTAAAGATTAACCGTAAAGATTAACTGTTTCATCAATTATGGTTGTGTCGACTGTGTTTCAAGGACTTTGCAGAGTGGATTTTGTCTGGAAGAGTGTAAAAATTCATCGGATTGGCAAGATTGCACGAATTCGTTCTATCCCTACATACAACTATGTAAGACACACGACCATCGTCGACACGATGCAGTGTTATCATAACCTAGTAACGCCAAATATTGATTTTGACACGTACACGTGACGAGCTGCTAGACGTTCGTATATAATGCAGAGAGTGGGAGAGACACACGCCTACATTTGAGCATACATATTGGTGTCTGCACGCGTCTTCGGCGCCTCTGTCGCGTCTCCGTGTACGTGTGTGCGCGACACGCACAACCACGTGGAGAGAGCACCCACACCAAATATACGTGTATCATCGCACACACGTGGTGCGAGGAATCATTCCAATGTCCGTTCGATTCATGCACGCCCGTCGCATGTGCGGCGCGCGCGTCAAATTCATGCACCTATTCATGCACACGTTATACCGACGAAAATTCACGCTCCCCTCGCGCCTGTGTCCTACGCGACGCCATTTGAGACGCGTATCGAGTGTTACAGAACAGCGATACGCCCGTCCGTTTGCACTCGCCAGAGAAACAATGCCGATTCTGCCACCACTACGAACCCATGTGACTGGAGGCATTTCAGAAAAAAGAATATAATTTCAAACGAACAACGTCGTCGTCTAGCTGGTTAAAGCACAACCGTTTAAACATTCGTTTCGGGCATTCATCTCTAACTGACATTGTGCAAAACGAATAAAATATACATCGGTATGATAGTTTCGCGAAATGTTGAAAAGGTTTGACATTTCGCTATCTTTTATGACCGATCACTCGGAAATAAATCATCGTCAGTCAGTTTTCGAGGCGATGTTTTCACATTCGGTTAGTACAACTGCATATGCGCCATGTAAAAGGAGGTCATGGTACGACCAAATAGCAATAATAATGCAACTATAAGTTGCCGTCCTACCACACGGCATTCTAAAAGATAAAATTCATAGAAAATGAGTTGTCCGCATTCGAGCGACATCTGTGCATCGCTCATCGAATGCACAACTGCACGATTGCAGATTTCTGCATCGCCTGGACAAGTGATAACACGTGATCATCCGGAAGAATAATTTCTACAATTTCCAACATTACCGACATAAAATAGATTACAGCGTTACAAACGGTTCAAATTGAAACTGAATTTGAATTCGAAAACTTGAATTTTTAAATTTGTATCATAATCCTTGATTAAAGATTAGCTAAACTTGAGACAGAGTTGTGAGGGGTGCTGAAAAAGAAAACCTAACACAGTAACCAGAAGGGCAAAGAAAATTTAAAACAATAGCCAGAAGGTCTACTAAAAGAATATTTCTCGATGCAATGACCAGAAACGCTATTATTAAATTTACATTCGATATGAATCCTAATTCGCGATGTGCAAGAAGCCATATCCTGATCTAATACATAGAAAAAATGTTACTACTCACGGGTATAAAAAATACCCGCGGTCACTATACTCATAAAAAATTCTACGTATACAACCAGTCACCCGACATGATTGAGCGACTGGAGGAACATAAATGCATGCGACTCACAGGATAGATGTGAAGAATCGTTATCATCGATGCTGTACTGGAGCAGGGAAAGTCGTGAAGATCCTCATCAAGTAGAATCCATGATGGAAGTGAACGCCGAGAAAAATTTCTTAAAAAACAAACAAAGAATGCAACGTTATTTGTGAAACTTTAAATTTTAATAATTAAGAATTAGGACTAATAATTTTAAGTGTTTTTATTTTGTAATTATAATTTTACATTCGACTTCAATAGAAAAGAACTACAAAGAATAGAATTTAAATACAATATATTAAAATACTCACATTTTTAGCTTTTGAAGCATCGTAAAATTCTTGGAGGATTAGGGAAATTGGAGACTGTAGAAAACCTATAACAAAAGATTAAACATTAGACTTCATATTTAAAAGCAAAGCAAAATCTTAAATTGGAGATAATGAAAGATTCTTACATTCTTGGCTTTAGAGCCACCATTGGATTTTTCCCAAAAAATATAAAAAAATTAATGCTGATGTGAAGCATCTGCAACAAAACATCAAATATTATATGTATTTTGTTGTTAAATTTGAAAAATTGAATAAATTGAGATATATAAAATTATACTTACGATCTTGATCTCCTGTAGAGGCCTCATTCTCTTGAGCACTGACTCTAATACCGAAAATGAGTATTGAACAAGGAAAAATATGAGAAAAGGAAGATAAAAGACTATCGATGCGCGCGTTTAAGTAACGATCGGCGAACTCACTGACTCTAACTTCGCGAATCATAATTTAAATTAATTAATAATTAAATTTAACAAGAGCCATTTTGCTCAGAAAAATATTAAAATATTGCGCAACAAACACTGACTCTATCGACCGCATTGCGCGCGGTCACAAAAATTTTCTGAAAATAATGCTGATTAGTAGAGGGAGGGCGAAGGATATGTTTATTTAGAAAATACTGCTATTTTTCTAGAACATGATTATAAAGAAATGAATATGTATTAAAGATATTAGTTGTAAATCATAAAGTATTTCTCAATACTGAATACTATAAATGAGAAACGATTATTATATTCTGAAATTGTATTCTGAATGTTTGTTATTAAAATAGGAAGTATGCACATTAGTAATACATCACGTCACGTGTTATAAATATTCAAAAATGTTTGCACAAATCAAAATTTCACAGTTAAATGTATTTAAGAATATTACAAAAATCGCGCGTAAAATCTTGCTTTGAATCGCTTCAATGGCAGCGTTTAAAAAAATACAATATAATAAAGTACAAACACATCTAAAAATATACATCTATTTGACAATACACGTATACCGTCAAGCTGGTACTTATCTAAATAAAATATTAATTGATTTAATCTTTTCTATTTTCATCTTTGTATTCCAACTAATTCTAAATGATACATACGTAATTACATATTGTATTTCGAATACATATGAATTGTATACCAAATGTTACCCAAAATGAATAAAATATTGCCAAATTATCGTGAAAGTTCATCAAGTTAATGGTCGTGGCGTTCTATATTATCTTTCCAACCAAAGAATAACCTGTACAGAACGAAACCAAAGGTTAGAACAAATATGTCAAATGAAAACAAATATATAAAAGTGAAACGATAATCAAACATCAAATTCTGTTAAAAAAGCGAAACAAGATACCGGTAGTCGTACAAATGGACGACGATTGAAGAAAAATCGGGGCGAAAAGTTTCAAAGCACCACACGATGTCGTAATTAATTAATTGACACTCAATTAACCGTTGATTAATAAGGTATAAATGGAAGTAAAAGAGTGTCGAAGAAACGACGCCATCGAGAAGACGCCAATAGGTTAGGAAACGTTACGAACCTAATGCGACGCAATACATATTATCGTCACGAAATTCGACAGCCAAATGATTATCCGCGATACGTCTCATCACGCAATTGAGAAAGTAATAGGGGATGAGGTGAACTTAAATAAACAAACACGAATTAAGACGAACATAAACATTGTGCTGCTGTTGCTATTTTGAATTTCAAGCTACAAGGCCTTCTACGCCTTGCTTTATTTGAGAAATGAAAAATTTTATTATATTACGCAGTAAAATTATGATTTTAACCATTAAATACGTACATTCTTAATAAATCATTGTTGAATTTAGTATTAAATTTAATTGTTAAGAATTATGCAGTCTGAAATTGAAGAATCAATAAATAAGTATAAAATATTATAATAGAAGTGTATGTGTAAAAGCATATAATAAAATACGTGTATATATGTACATGTAACAATGAATTAGTCAATTACAAGGTTACAATATTTCTACTGGTTAGAATTGAAATAAAATTTACAAAATTATAAATAACTTTGTAGTATATTCTGTTTAAATGTTTATGTGCTATTATTTCCTTAATTGTTGAAAATCATATGTAACAATTATTTGGTTAAATCTTACCTTAGAGAATCAAAAATTATACACTTTCTCGGTAATCTGCCAGATCTCAATGAATTGAAGACCTAAAATTTTTATTCAAATTTCGATTGAAAATGTATGTTCTAATTCAAAAATTCACAACACAAACACAAATTCTATAGCTATTTATTTAAATTTTTACCTGAGAACTATTGGATGACACTTCTTTCTGGATGATTTTCCTGGATGACACTTTCTTTTTAGAGATGAGGTGTACTTCTTTCCGCCATTAAAGGTCTGCTCTCTCGCATAAAAATCGATCATGAGAAATATCGATTACATTCGAGAATCATAGGGAGTGTATTGCCTAGTTCACCGTGTAGTGGCGCTGTAAATTTCAGCTAATTTAAACCCAATACGCGCGCATTTCACATGAAATCTTAACTTCGAATAAAAAATAAAAAAACTTCGGTCTGAATCAAATACACAAAATTCATGAGAAATTCTTAAAAAAGAAAATATTCATAAACTAGATAAAAAATTTTCAGTATTTTAAACTGCTATAATTTCGTGAAAAAAATTGTAGAACAGTTAACTTGACTTTGATTTAAAAAATGAAGTCTCCACTTTAACAACCTAAGACATTACGTTAGATTTTTACCGCTTAATATAATTAATATAATTTTTGACCACATAACTTTTCTCTACATAAATCTTTATTTAATATATATCAATACAGTTATAATTTAAAAATTAATATCACGAAAATGTAAACTCAGATTTAGCTAATAAAAAATTAATAATAAAATATTACATTTAACGTAATTTTCATGAAAGCATAACTTTGCGACAGAAATTTAAAAACTATTAAATTATTGATTAGTATAATAGAAAAACTGTTTTTACAAATACTAAAAAAAATTATCAACTGTTCCGGATTACTAACGACCGAAACATTAGATTAACCTTGAGAGATACGGAG